AAGGGTGGGGATGAGAAGTGTAATCAAGTTGTTTTATATAACTTTATCTGGAGAATAAACTCGTTGCCTATCTAACGATCTGGCTCATGAAAGAGCAGGCACTGGCATTAGTGACTGGTGTAAGGATGGCCAATGAGTAGCTGCTTCTTGTCCTCATTTGAGTTGGTGTGAGGAGGACCTCGGCACATCTCTCGGCTCTGTGGAGTCACCAAGAGGAGCTGGTGCCACAGACAGACTCATTCTCTTGGGTCATGGGCTCAGACCCCAATGTACATGAGGATGATGATGAGAGCTGATGTGCTTTATGGTTACCAAGTTCTTCACCTATATTGCATCATCTCATTCTCACAACTCAGTGAGGTAGATTGTACATGTATTATTTCCTTTATTTTATATGTGGAGAAACTTGGGTAAAGAGAATCCCAATGTCTTAGCCAAGGCAAATGTCTTATTGTAAGACTCCTAAGTATTAGAGCCAAGACTCACATCCAGGTCTCTGGACCCCAAAACTAGTGCTCGTTCTAATTATGACTTATATTTATACAACCCTTTAGAGGCAGGTCAGAGTGGTAGACCTATGTTAACCTCCTAGCTTTGACATTTAACTGACTTTGACTCTGCATTCATTTTTATTTTTATTATTATTATTTTTTTTTTGGTACTTGGGGTTAAGTGACTTGCCTAGGCTCACACAGCTAGTAAGTGTCAAGTGTTTGATCTGAGGCCGGATTTGAACTCAGGTCCTCCTGACTTCAGGGCTGGTGCTCTATCCACTGCACTACCTAGCTGCCCCGCATCCATTTTTATTAACTGTGACTGTGGATAAGTCACTCAATCTCTGACTCAGTCACCAACTCCTTGTGACTCTGTGATATAGGCAACTCCCTAGAACTCATAGATGGGTTGCAAGCAGGGAATTACCCTGATCAGACATTCCACCTGATGAAATTGTAGATGTTTGAAGTCTAAGGCTTACAGAGCACTTTCAGCCACAACTATCATTTGTTTAGCTATCATTTACCTAGCTCTCTGAGGTTTGCAAAACTCTTTGTGTGCTCATTTTGATCCTCACAACAACCCTTTCAGGTAGGTGATGTTATTATCCCCCTTTTAAAGATGAAGAAACTGGAGCACAGAGAGATTGTAACTTGCCCAGGGTCACACAGCTAGTAAATGGCAGACAGATTCAAACTCAGATCTCCTGACTCCAAGTTGAGCAGTCTTTCAGTTGTAATATACCACCTCCAAGATTTATTTCTCAGGAAGTACCTACAACATGGGAAGCTAGATGGTACGGCGGCTAGAGCTCTGGTCCTGAAGTCAGAAAGACTTGAGTTCAAATGTGACCTCAGACACTAGCTGTGTGACCCTGGGTGAGTCACTTAAGTCTGTTTGTCTCAGTTCCTCATCTGTAAAATGAGCTGGAGAAGGAAATGGCACACCACTCCAGTATTTTTTTTTGTGAGAAAATTGGGGTTATGTGACTTGCTTAGGGTCACACAGCAAGTGAGTGTTATGGGTCCAAGGCTGGATTTGAACTCAGGTCCTCCTGACTCCAGGGAGGGTGCTGTACTCACTGTGCCACCTAGCTGCCCCAACTCTAGTATTCTACCAAGAAAACTTAAAATGTGGTCAAGGAGAGTCAGACACGACTGAAATGACTCGATAACAACTTGCAATGTACCCTAAGTTGGCCCACTGAGTGACAGATGCTGGGACCCCGGAATATTCTCTAATTTGACCTCCTCTCAGAGCACAGTTATAATTGTTCCAGCAAAACATTGGACATTTGGAACTAATTCTGACTTTATGGTTACTGACATTGGATAAATCGGAAACCCACCTTCGCTTAGCAAACCCTTTCTGCATCATGCAAACGTAAAGAAAGTGTTAAACAAAACTGCTGGATGAAGGAATTAAAATAAGTGAGATATGTAAGAGAATAAACTATTTTCAAACACGTCAAACCCTTTAGAAGCTCCTATTTATACACAAACAATTGTATGCCATTTATAAACTGTTATATATTAGACACTTAATAAATGTTTCCTGAAGTAAATTAGAGCAGATCCTTTAAGGACTTATACTAGACAACACTTTTTTGACTTAGATCTTGTTACTTGTAACAAAATTATAGCTCTGGAACCTGGAAAGTTTCTAGACTATAACCTTTTCAGGAATGCAGATTCTCTGCCTGTCCTTGCTTTCCACCCTCAACATTCCCCTTCAGCCTACACTCTCAGTTTATCTACTTATTGTGGCATTTTTCTTTTTAAATTAAAAAAAAAATTATTTTACTATTTCCCAGTTATTTGTAAATTTTTTAAACATTCATTTTTAAAACTTTTGAGTTCCAAATTCTCTCTCTTCTTCCTGCTCCTCCTCAGCCCCTTGAGAAGGCAAACAATATGATCTCAATTACACACATCATGGTATTTTTCCAACAACATGTTAGGTTTCAGACAGAGCATGGCAGTCAGCATGGTCTCTGACTACTCACCATCCAAGTGCCAAAATACGTGTAAGGCCCAGTCGTGGGTTAGAGAGAAAGAGGATTCTCTCAGGGGCAGCTAAGCAGGGCTCAGAAATCTCTCAGACAAGAATTTCAAGTCATCCTGCCTATCTTACCAGACATTTCACATTACTTCACTTCATACCCTCTGTGTCATAGACAAAGTGTCGTGCTAGCTGCCCCCTGAACTCCGAATTTCATCTCCCAACTCCTTGTTCCCCATGCCTGGAATCCATTTTCTCCTAACTTCGTCTTTTTTCAAGGGTTAGCTCAGGTGTTCTCACCCACACAAAACCTTTCTTGATCTTCCCCGGTTGTCAGTGCTCTCTCTTTTTCCTTTCTTACTAAAAGGATTCTTAGACTTTTTTTGTGTAATGAACCCCTTCTCAGAATAATTTTTTAAATGTATAAAATAAAATACATAGCATTAAGAAGGGAAACCAGGCCACTTGGTGGAGTTATGAGGGGCTCAAGGTGGGAAAAGCTTCACAGAATCAATCAAGAGACCAAGTTAGACAAAGGCTCTAGGAGACTTTGTTATTCAGTTGTGGCTGACTGTTTGTGACCCTATTTGGGGTTTTCTTGGCAAAGATACTGGAGTGGTTTGCCATTTCCTTCTACAGCTCATTTTACAAATGAGGAAACTGAGGCAAGCAGGGTTAAGTGACTTGCCCAGGGTCACACAGCTTATAAATATCTAAGGCCAGATTTGAACTCAGGTCTTCCTGACTCCAGAACTGGCACTCTATCCACTGCGCCATCCAGCTGCTAGGAAGCTTAGGTCACTGCTACTTCTTTTTCTCAAAAAAGTCAAACAACTGATGTGTTTCTGTGGACCATTAGAAAAATGTTGGACTGCCTAGAGGCAGTCCCCCTCCACTCTCGTACTAATTTCTGGGAGGCAAGTCATTTACTATGTTCAAAAAACAATAAAGCAGGAGGCACAGAATCTGAGTTCAAATCCTGACTCTGCTATTTATTATTACTTGGATGATCTCTGGGCCTCAGTTTCCTTACTTGCAAAATGAAAGAATTGGATTAGATCAGAGTATCAAACATACATGTGGCTCTAATCAGATTAAAGTGTAATTGAGAAATATGTAACAAAATAAATAAAAATATAGATAATATTACATTTAAAAACTAAGTCATATATACAGCATTCAGCAATTCTTACATACAGATTATTAGCCCTGTTTCTATTTGAATTTGCTACCACCGTACTAGATGACCTCTGAGATCCCTCTTAGAGTTATGATTCTATGACTCGAGGCCATTTTCTTCAAAATTTCCAACCTCAACATTTTCTACAGATGCTTTAAAACTTCTTGAGCTTTGTACATTATTGCTGATGTGGACATCACTGACAAAAATGATTATAGTACTAAATATTTACTAAGCTTGGTGTCCCATTGTACAAAGGCACTGGGGTGAAGAAGGTGCCAAAGAAAGAGAACTAATACATCTTCACTAAGCACCTATTGTATGCTTATCCTTGTAGCCCCGGGAGGCTCCTAGACATTTGCTACCTGTGTGACCTTGGGCAAGTTACTGAGCCTGCTGGGCCTCAGTTTCCTCATCTGTAAAAAAAGAGGGTTGGACTAAGGTCCCTTCCAGCTCTAGAGTCACAATTGTTTGTTTTCAGCGCAGGCAACTACAATGCATTGAGATCAGTTCCAGAAGAAAAAGGGAGAGATATCTTCCTTTCCCTGAGCTCATCCCTCCTCCACAGGGATGGTGCTTCGTTCCTCTACAATACAATTCCCTCCCTTGTCTTTATGCTCAGGCCAAGTCAATTCAACAAGCTTTATTGAGCATCTACCTTGTGCAAGGCTCCTGGGATACAAAACCAAAAATAAAACCATCCTTTCCCACAAGGAAATTATATTCTATATAATGGAATACTATTGTTCCATAAGAAATGATGAGCGGTTAGATTTCAGAAAAACCCGGAAAGACTTAAATGAACTGATGCTAAGTGAAGTAAGCAGAACCAGGAGAACATTGTACACAGTAACAGCAACATTATTCCATGACTGACTTTGATAAACTTAGCTCTTCTCAGCAATGATATAAGACAATTCCAAAAGACTAAAGATGGAAAATGCTATCCACATCCAGAGAAAGAACTATGGAGTCTGAATGCAGATCGAAGCATACTATTTTCTCTCTCTTTTTTTTTTTCCTTTCTTGTGGTTTTTCCCTTTGGTTCTGATTCTTTTTTACAACATGACTAATGTGGAAATATATTTAATATGATTGCGTATGTATGGCTTATATCAGATTGCACGTCGTCTTGGAGAGGGAGGAGTGGAGGGATGGGGAGAAAATTTAGAACTCAAAATCTTATAAAAGTGAATGTTGGAAACTAAAAATAAACAAACAACGACGACAACAAAAGGAAATGATATTCTAATGGGTTTTTGAAGGTTCTGCTTCCCACGGCCCTGGCTACTCAGCCTAAGATATCATTCTTTTCCTTCCTTAGCTATGGTGACCAGGTTCAGCACTTCAAGGTGCTTAGAGAGAACATGGGGAAGTACTTCCTTTGGGAGGAGAAGTTCAACTCACTCAATGAATTGGTGGACTTCTACCGCACAACCACTATTGCCAAGAAGAAGCAAATCTTCCTGAGGGATGAGGACCCAACACACAAGGTATCAAGAGGCCCCATCAGCAGCATGGCCTCCAGCTCTAGGTTAGCATAGTTAGCCAAAGGTGGGACTACAGTCAAGGACTCTATGCATTGAAGGCCTGGGTGGAATGAGGACACAGAGGCAGGAATCCGAAGTCAGGCAGATTCCCAGTTAGGGACCCAGAGGTCCAGCACTGAGCACAAAGCCTGGCATGTAGTAAGTGCTCAAATAATGCTTGTTGACTGACTAAAGGACTGGTCACATTGGCAGGAGAAGTTTGGGTATTAGGAACTCCTTGGAACACTAAGAGGGTGGGGCATCCCCAGCCCCATCCTGTCCCTTCCTCCTAGCTAGTGACTCTCCCAATGAGTCCAGACTCCAGACAAGGGTGTGGACCCCAGGGGAGGAGGAGGCTTTTGCAGACAGTAATCCCAGAAGCCTCTGGAAACTATGGGGAGGTGTGGACTGGAGAAGGTGTGGGGGAGAAGGGTAGGAGTAGACTAAGGATTAAGAGAATAAATGATGATTTCTAAGAATCTCATAGCTCCTGTTTACCTCTGAACTAGCTATAAGAGATGTTATAGGCAGAGTGTCTCTTTGATTCCTGCCCCTACAATCAGGGAGATTTTTTCCAGATGCTCAGGTTATCAATCCTATCTAAAGGATTTGCCCCAGGGAAGAATGGCAACATCTGAAAGAGGGATTTTGTGAAACGTGGCCACCCTCACCTAGGAGGTACCTGCCTCAGGGATCTGTGGGTGGCAATGGATCTTGAAGGCAGGGCAGGAAACAGATTGGGAGAGCCTGGGAATTGAGAGCAAAGGGCCAGGAACAGAAATGAGCCAGATACAGAAAATTACCCAAAAGGCAATAAGAAGAAACAGCAGGTCTGGGGTGGGGGCACAACGTCGCCAGAGGTCAGAACAAGGTTGGAACCAATAGCATTTGGTTTCTAGGGGTCAAAATAAGTCACTAGATTCAAAGACAACTAAGTAGTTAGCATCCAGGAAATCTGTAGAGACCAGAGAACCAGGCAAGACCCCACATCTAAAATCCAGGCAAGCCACTGTAGCTGCAGAGAGATGCCCTCATAACAAAGGGAACTGAATGTCTCCTGGCTGCCTCTCACATTAAGAGCCAAGCCCTGGGAAATGGACATTCCAGAGCAGGAGGTTGTTTTTTTTTTAAATTTTTAAATTTTACTTTACTTTTAAAAAATTTTTTTATTAGTTTATTCTTAGTTCTCAACAATCACTTCCATAAGCTTCTGAGTTTTAAATTTTTCTCCCCCTCCCTTCCAACCTTCCTCCTCAAGACGGTGTGCAATCTGATATAGGCTCTACTTACACATTCCTCTTCAACGTATTTAGAGCAGGAGTTTTTTACCTCTTTTTTGTGATTTGGGCTCTTTGGCAATCTGATGATACCTATAGGCCTCTTCTCATAATAATATTTTTAAGTGCATTAAATAAAAAACATATTGTTTTTAAATGTGTAAAATAAATACACAGGATCACAAAGGAAACCAATTATATTGAAATAGTTACCAAAATATTAAAAACAAAAAAACAAGTTATGGACCCCCAGGTTAAAAACTCCTCTCCTGGAGCCTAGAGATAAGGGAAGATGAACCATAGTGGGAAGCTGATCAGGAGTTTAACCTACACAAAGTGAGAATATATGGTGGCAGAACCAGACAGAAGGAACAAAAGTACAGTTTCCTTTCTAGACTCATATCAATCTCTCTCAAAACGCAGAAAACTCCCTCTGGGACAGAGTTTCTTAACTTGGGATTCATGAACCTTTTGGCTTTTTTAAAAAACATTTTGAAAACTGTATTTCAATAAAATTGGTTTCCTTGGTAATCCTATATATTTTATTTTATGCATTTAAAAACATCATTCCAAGAAGGGTGCATAGGCTTCACCATACTGCCAAAGGTTTTGCAACCATGACACAGACAAGGTTGAGAACTTCTACTCTGGGAGCTGCCTACCTACAAGAGAAAACAACTGTTTGACTGGGAAGTCAATGCTGCTGGCCCACAGCCTGAAGAGCTGGGCCCTGCTGAAGGTTCTTCAGAAGATTAAGGGTAGCAAAGTGAGCCACAAATAATAGAACTCAAAAAGAAAGCAGTAAAAGGCCCACCCAGTGACTTGCCAGGCCTCGCGGTAATTTGGTGGTATGTTCAGCCCTCTAGGCAGAGGTTGTTCGACCCTTAGTCCACATTCCAATCCTGCCTGGGCTGCAGCATTTGAAGTCCGTGTCCAAGGGAAGGACAGGACAGGGAAGGACAGGATGGGGCAGGACAGAATGAGAGAATCACGGCTCCTGGGGCAGCTATTGTTTCCTGCCTGGGTGGAGTGCCAAAGGAAAAGGGCAGCAGCCACCCCCACCTGCAGTTGACTTTCATAATAGTTGTTATTCTTCACAATAGCATAAAAGTCCTCTTACAGACTCTTTCATTAGGAGAAATCTCAACATCTTTTATACCCCTCCTTTAGTTAAGGCTAATGACTCCTGTAAAGGTGAAACTTTTATTAAGCTATAGGAGCTTTTTTGGAATGGTGGGGTAGGAGGAAGAAGTATATTCAGACCCTGAGATGTCAGATTACAAAAAGGATTAGAGCAGGGTTTTGTAACTAGAACCATAGATAGATTTCAAGGAATCTATAAATTTGAATAGGGGAAAAAATCATATTTATTTTTACTAATCTCTAACTGAAATTTTGTGTTTCCTTCAATTATAAACTAAAAACAATAACAACGACACATTATCCTGAAGAATCCATTGGTTTTACCAAAATGCCAAAGGCACCTATGTAACAAAAAAGGTTAAGAACCCCTGGTTTCAATAGTCAAAATCTATGATGGTGTGGGGCTTCAGGGCTCTCTGCTTAGGGTCTAGTTGAACCAGAGAATCTGAGAAATACCAAAATAAAACCTTCAAAATGTATAAGGGTGATTTGTGATTAGATATGGTTTAATAAGTAGCCTGGAGACCCCTAATCATGGCCTTCTCTTTCAGCTCCACCCAGGTTCATGGTTCTGTTGGGGTAATTGTTTACTCAAATTCTCCAGCTCTTAGCTCCCCTACATAGGTTTTTTTTTTTTTTAATACCAAACCAAGCCAGATGACACATGAATTCAAAGCAAGAAGTGCTTAATGAAATAGAATATCAAGGTAATAACAGGGAGTTGAACAAGGTATTAAATATTTTCTGCACCCATTCCCAAATGATTGCCACCATTCTATTTGTAGAAAGATGCTAGGGAAACACCCTAGAAGCTGTCTAGAGAACATTAGCATCCTGCAAACCAGCCAGACAGCACCGTAGAAACTGATGTTGACGTCACTTGGTTCTGCAGCAACATGGGGTAGGCTGACCTGTCCCAGGAGGTTCTGCTGACTGTACTAGTCCTGACACTGTACAGCTGCTGTTTTCCCTTATCTCTTGTCTCTTTTCACATCCGACTCCTTTGTAAGACTCCCCAGCTTTTAAAAACTATACTTAAAATGCTGAAAGCACACATAACCATTTTACGGAGCCCCTGAAGGGGCTTCTGACAGGTGTAGTACAAAGAGGATTTCCTCCAGTAAGCAAGACTTTGCTCCCAGGCACTGTGGATAGACTGGTCCCTGCAGGGACATTCTCCCCCAGCTCCACATAAAAGCAATTGAATCTTAGGAGCTCGAATGGAATTTTAGACAACTAGGTGGCTCACTGGAGAGTACTGGGCCTGGAGTCAGGAAGACCTGAGTCCAAATCTAGCCTCAGACACTTACTAGCTGTGTGGTCTTGGTCAAGCCACTTAACCACTGCCTGCTTCAGTTTCCCCATCTGTAAAATGGGGATAATAATAGCACCTACCTCCCAAGATTATTGTGAGGATCAAATCAGACAATGGTAAAGCACATAGTGCAGTGGATCACACAGTAGGTGCTTGATAATTGCGCATACCATCTGTCATAAGGAGGGTTTGTGAATAAGTGCTAAAGGATGATAGGAAAGGAGTAGAATGCAGCCCTTCTGCAGTCTCAGAAATCATCAGCTCTGGAGTCACCTACTTAGAGGTTCCATTCTGGGAAGAATTGATAAGCCATCCCTCAGAAACATTGGTCTCCTGATTTATTCCCTGGATATACCCTCTTGGCTCTGCCTCTAGCCACCAAGAGTCTTTGTATTGATCCCCTATTACCTACCCCTTCCCATCTCTTTCCTTCCATCTAGATATACCTGTCCTGGATGGGAAAGGTCCTATTCCATGGCCCTTTTTTTCCTTTCCCCAAAACAGAAGTACACTGACATAGGGGCCTTCTGAAAAATTAAGCTCTATTTTGTCACCTAACTTAATGATGACTCTAATAAGAGTCCTTTCATTAAAGGACGGGTGGGACAGGGAGGCAGGACAGGGAAGGGAGAGGTTGTCTCAACTGCTTAATTGATCACTGACTCTTCCTATACCTATTACCAAATTTGATGAACCTCTCTTCTCCTCCTGTTCCATTTCTTTAGAACGAACTCAATTGATTCATGTCACCATTTTCTTTATCTGGGCCAAGAACTCAGAGTTCAGGAATCCTACCATCCACTCCTATTTCTACCCTTGTTTTCTTAAAAAAACTTCCCCCCCCCCCCCCCCATTAGCACCCTCCTGGTCCTAAAGATGAGAATACATTATAGAGGAAAGAGAACTGAATTGGCTATTAACTTGCTGTGTAACTTTCTCTCTAGGCCTCAGTTTTTTCATCTATAATGTGAAAGGATTAGAATATGAAGTCCTTTCCAGATCTGATATCCTGTAACTAGACCTTTGAAATTTCTCTCTCTCTCTCTTTTTTTTTTAGGCAATTGGGGTTAAGTGACTTACCCAGGGTTCACACAGCTAGTGTCAAGTGTTTGATCTGAGGCCAGATCTGAACTGAGGTCCTCCTGACTTCAGGGCCCGTGCGCTATCCACTGTGCCACCTAGCTGCCCCTGAAATTTCTCTTTAATTCAACCATCTATTAGATGTATACCCAGTTCTGCTGAAAAAGCCCTACCACCAAAAGTTAGCTGCCCCAAATAGTAATCTAAAGTGCAGGCTGGACTGGTCCATAGGATAGATGGCTGTTGGAATCACCCTGCCTCAAGATACTGGAATGGATTGCCATTTCTTTTTCCAGCTCTTTTTTACATTTGACGAAACTGAGGTGAAGAAGGGTGGGTGGCAGCTAGTATCTGAAGCCAGTTTTGAACTCAGGAAGATGAGTCTTCCTCACTGTAGGCCCAGCACTCTATCCATTGTACCACCTAGCTGCCTCATACTAGCTCATACTAGCTCCCACGGTTCAATTTTCAGTGTGAGCAATTACACTTGAAAAATTAACAAATAGCTACAAATCAGGCCTCGATTTATTGTCTTGTTGATTGTTTTGACTTAAGAAAATGATGGAGAAAACGTTAATGCAAATTAAAATTAAAGTATATCCTGTGTTCAGAAAGAAAGAAAGAAAGAAAAAGAAAGAAATCACCCTGCCTCATGGGGCACCTGCTCTAGGCATTAGTCTATTCCTGAGGCTACGACAGCCATAAGAATAGTAGATACTTAATAAATACTAAATAAATGAATTGTATAGTAAATGAATGGGAGAACAATGGTACTGAGCTGCTGAGGTCTCCAGGAGGAAAGAGTCCAAGAAATCCTACTCTCTGCTTGAAATACCTTAGGTGGTTAAGATTTCATTAAGGCCACTGCCAAGTCAGTCAGTTCGAGTTCTGTTGAGCCCCTACTCCAACCCCAGCCTTCTCTGCTTTGTACCTCTCTTTATCCCAGAGACTCAGAAAGGCGGAGGTGGGTTACAGAGGTCTTAGGAAGAGCAGCTAAAGCCCTGGCTTCTATACAAACCTCTGGTGGGGCAAATAGGGAGACCGTACTCTATCCAAGGGAATAGGGTGCTCTTTCTAGGGAGAGAGTCCATCCTACCTTTATACTTCAGACTTTGGCCTGAGCCAGCCTACCCCTTTGGAAAAATGTTGATGATCATTTCAGCTTCTCTGTGGGGAGGTAGAGTGGGGAGTGTCCTTGATTCTCTCCAAACAGAACAGGTTAATTACACCTTCCCTGGGTGGGGTCATCCCCTTGAGCTGATCCTATCACTGCAATTAACCAAATCCCATAGTCTGGACTCTGGAAGATTAGGTTTCCTTCTGATTGGTCAGATAGGTTATCATCCATCTTTGCTACCAGGTTATATCAGCCTGGCCTGAGTCTTCCAGTGACTCCTTGGTGGCTCCTAAGACATGTCACATCCAGATCAAGGTCACTGTCAAGGATGGGGGCCAGAGAGCAGGGACTCTTGATCCTCCCAAGGATACTAGACTCTAGATGGGAGGCTGTGGGTGGCGGTAAGGGAACAGGAAGAGACAGAGCAAGAGACTAAGAGACTAAGTTCCTGCTTTGGGTGAATGGTGAGCTATAGGCCCTATCCATTTAAAAAAAATTCCTGATCTAAGTCATGTTCTCCACAAAGGCGTGAGATGACCCAGAGCTCTGTCCATGGCTGGGATATGGTGTTGGTCCACATGGGACCTGGTGGAACACTGAATCCCCAGACCCCAAACATTCAGTTTTGGGAGCCACAAGATTAGTCTTAGCTTTGACTACAGGGACCAGACAGAGGTATTGGCAGACAGGTGTGAAGGAGTTGCTTTAAGTCTCTCCAAGTCCCAGCCCAGGGGTAGATGATTCAGACTCTGATTGCAGTGGGGGTGTTGACTGAGCCTCAGATATCTGATATCAGATAATAGTTGAGAAAGGGAAGGGGCAGCATTCCAATGGCTCCCTAGGGGAACCACTACCTTGGATGACAAAACCAAGAGACCCAGATCCTTCAGGAAATGTCCTAGGCTAGGGTCACTCTCAAAAGCTTTAGATGAGGCCGAGGGCCAAAGAGAAATCAGATTTGAGAGAGTTCCAGGCGGAAAAGGAATTTAAGCTGGGAAGGAATTGGCATTAAGACACTAGACTGAAGGAACCGGGACTTATCACCTAAGCTGGATAGAGGTGTGTACTCAGACTTTGCTGACATAGAGAATTTGTGTCCTAAAATTCTCCCACCAGAGCAAAATGTCCTTGAAACTGCTGCCTGAGTGTGGGGTTCACTTCTTAGAAAGGATTCAGAGGAGGTTAAGGACTATGGAAGAGAGCCTACAGCCCTAGAAGGAGACCTTCCTCCCTGACCCATTCCTTGAGTATTGGCCATAGAAGTGGTCAAGGGAAATAGCGCTCACATGGGAACCAAAGAGTCCAACCCACCAGCCTAGGATCTTTTGCTTCCCAAGAAGAAAGAGAAGCACCCAGAAGAAGCTTCAAAGTCAGTTGGTTCTTGGCCCCTTTTTTCTGATCCTTTTTTTTTCTCCTTCTTCTAGCCACCCAGAGCAAAATTTGCCAAGGCCCAGTTTGACTTCACCGCCCAGAACTCCTCACAACTCAGCTTCTACCAGGGTGACATCATTGAGGTGCTGGAACATTCTGACCCCAACTGGTGGAGAGGCCAGCTCAGTGGCCGAGTGGGCTTCTTCCCTCGGAACTACGTCCATCTCATCCACATGTGAACTGTTACTCGGTCCTCACCTCTCTCCATCTCTCAGAGTTGTTTTGAATGACCGTGGCTTCTAAGACTTTTCTGGATGAACAAGCACTCACAATGGGGAGGAGCCAGTGGGTTCCCTACTGTTCTGATATCAAGAGTACAGAACAGGTTTCCTGCTGTGTCCGGGGGGGGGGGGGGGGGGGTTGGGGGGGCTGAATCAGGTTGGACCTAGGGAGGGTATTTTCTGGACCAATTTAATTCAGCAAATATTGATTAAATACGTACTATGTGCAAAGCACTGTGGTTATAAAGACAAAAACAGTCCTTTCCCTTAAAGACCTTAAATTCTATGAGAAGGATAAAATCTGTACTAGGATGTCATGTCAAATCAAGAAACATTTATTAAACACCTACTGTATGCCAGGCACTGTGCTAAGTTCTGGGCATACAGAAAAAAGGCAAAAAACAATCCCTGCTCTCAGGGAGCTCATTGTCTAACTGGGGGATACAAATGAAAACAGCTATATAAAAATATATATATGTATATATGTATATATATATATGTATAAACAACAAGATATATACATGATAAGTTGGGGTAGTCTTAGAGGGAAGGCACTAGCATTAAGGGGGATTAGGAAAGTCTTCTTGTAGAAGGTAGGCTGTTAGCTATGACTTGAAGCAAGCCAGGAAAACTAGGAGGTGGAGGTGGGGAGGTAGAGAATTCCAGGCAATACAAAATTTATATGAAGTACTTTGAAGAGGCAGACTGCTAATAACCATAGGAATGCACAAAGTGTGGGCCAGGTGTGTTGACATGCCTGTTGGGGAGCAATTTTCATTGAATAATTCCTTGAGAAATAACTGATTTTTACTCAGTAAAGGATTATTACTTTTCTCACCCATATGTAAGTTAGATATGGAATTTATCTATACTCCTATAAAAATGGGCTTCCAACTACAAAGATGCTTAAGCCAGGTCCTGCTCATAATATGCCCATATATGTGAAAGATATGCTTATGAGTAATAGGGGTCCCACATGTGAGAGGGAGCTCCAGGTAAAATAATAATAATGCTAGTCCCATGATAATAATAATAATATACATGTTATGTACACAATGCATATACATATATGCAGTGCATGTATACACATGTGAGTGTCTGCATATGTGTATATATTTACATATATATATTTAATTTCAGTGGTTTCTCTTACTAGGGGAAAGAGAAGTCATGATTGTGAAGAGCCAACATCAAAAAACAACTAACCTCATTTCCTTTTTTGACAAGATCACTAACCTGGATAAAGTTCACTTGGATGTTAACAAAACTTTTGATAAAATATTTCATACCATTCTCAAGCAGGGGATGGATGACCACCTTTTGGATATGTCATAGTTGGTGTTCCTTTCATGTTCAGGTTGGACTTGGCCACCCTTCCCACCCCCAAATTCTCTGATTATATGGGGGTAATTTTGATTTACACACTTATACTCAGTGGGGATCAAAGGTCCCTCTGGCCCCCATCCCTAACTTCACCTAAGCTCCCGTTGGAGGGTAAAATGTCTCCAGCCTCTTCAAGGGCAAAATCTTTTCCTAAATCATGCCTGAGGCATCAACATGAAATCACTCCAGTCAGGATTTAGTGGCCACCAGCATTTTCATTTTTTACACCAAACCATTGAAGTAGCATAGAAATTGAAAGGGCTATTGCTGCTCTCTCTCCTCCTCTCTCTCTTCCTTCCCTCACTGAGCAGAAAGGAGATCAGGAAGTGATCATCCTCAAAATCAGATGGGGATTAGGACTTTGATGGAAACCTCTTTAGCAAGCAGAGAGAAGCAAAGGCCCAGGTGTTTCTCTTCCCATCCCTTCTCCTTATGTTCCCCCATGCAGTACCATCTTACTAATATATCTGTCAGTTTCCAGCAATTCCCATGCCATCCCCTTAAGCTCCTGCTCTCCAATGTCCAAACAGCAACCTGTCTGCCAGTGAAGGGATGCAACAGGTATGGGAAAGGGTACCCAGAGCAAGATATGTCACCTCCCTTCTCAGTCCCTGTTCTTCTCTGTGATCCAGCAAGACAGATTCTTCCTTCTTGCTGTAGCTTCCTTTTTCTCCTTCTCACAAGCCCCTTCAAGATCAAAGTCACAGCTGACCCTGAAACTTGAAAATCTGGGTAAACCACCTGTCCAGAAGATCAGTCCCATCCCTGAAGTTTCTCTACCCCCTGGGCATATGACCTAAGGTAGGTTGCCCTCAGAAAGGCCTTAAGGCATCTTATCTGTGTCTTGAAGGAAGCTAAAGATCATGGGAGAGATAGATGAAGAGGGAGTGCATCCCAATAAAAACGAGCAGACAAAAGTGATAATAAATTCAAACATTTATTAATTGTCTGCTGTATGCAGAGCACTATGCTAGGCACTGGAGGAAATATAAAGTTTAAATGAAATCATCCCTGCCCTCGCAAGAGTTTACAGTGTAGTTAATAGTTTCTAGACTGAGACACCAACACATAAATATAACAAACAACAGTGCATGGTTCTGTATTACAGAAGGGTCGACAAAATATTATGTGAGGCCTCAAGGTAGGTTGTTGTCAAATGGGAGGATCAGAAAAGACTTTGAGGAGAGGGGTAGCTTTTAAGTTGAGCTTTAAAGGATAGGTCAGAATTCAGGAGGTGCAAAGGAAAACGAAAGATGTCTTCCACAAAGTTATAGAGGCATGACAACATGGTACATGACTGGAAGAGCAGAGAGGGGACTAACATGAGAGAAGTCTGGAAAGACAGGATGGTACAATATTAGGCAAGAATTTGAATTTTGCTCAGTAGGCAAGAAGGGGCCACAGTTTTTTGAACCAAGGAATCATATGGCTAGATCTATGCATAAGGAAGATTATTCTGAAAGAAAATGAGGTTTGTGACCTTCAGTTCAGTACTTTGCTTGGAGCCAAATACTCAATCCTTGGCCCAGGGACTTGGCTGGGATTTAGGAATTCTTGCCACATCTCTAGAAGGCTGGAGTTCAGTAAGTCCCATTAAGCAGCCTGGGTTTCCCCTTTCTATGGTAGCCATTGTTCGGGCCAAAAGAAGACCTCTTTACAACTGCCTCTCCAAGTTGGCATCTTTGGTGGTGGGGAAAAGGATGTTACAAAAGGGCAGGCTTTACTTCCTCTACTCCCCTTATATCCTTCCCTCTACCTCCATCAGGTTTGCTCTTAGCTTCTTCATCTCTGGTCAGTACCTTGACCAGAGGCAGTTAGGTAAGAGCACCAGATCTGGAGTCAAGAAAATATGAGTTCAGATTCTGCTTCAGAAACTTACTAGCTGTGTGATCCTAAGCAAGTCACTTAAACTCTCTAAGCCTCATTTTCCTTATCTGTAAAAATGTGGATAATAATTTTTGGGGGGCTAGGCAATGGGGTTAAGTGACTTGCCCAGGGTCACACAGCAAAAATGGGGATAATAATAGGATAATAATTGCACCTACCTCACAGGGTTGTTGTGAGGATTGAATGAGATAACATATGTACAGTTGCTTTGCAAACCTTAAAGCAATATAAAAATGCTAGCTATAATATCCCCTCCCAAGCTCTCCCCCTTAATAACCTTAGCAGTTCTGTCTGTTCCTTTTTTTTAGGTTTTGTACAATGGTTCTATTTCATCCTAGCTTGAACCAATCAAATCATTTTCCATGCTGTTAATCACTCTAAGAGTATGTTCATGAACCAATCAAAGAGGCACAATCAAAATCCTCCAAATATAATAAAGTCCCAAATAATAGCCACATTCCTTTATCCTCATTGAATTGACCAAACTCTCCTGATCAACCCTCTCCAGATGGATTGGAGGATGGAAAAGTGAAGAAAGAGCTGATGGAGAAATATCTCCATAGCGACAACTGCAATAGTGTGGGCCAATAGTGCTAAACTCAAATAGAAATAGGGGCCACTAATCCATACATAAAGATCCCTGCAGGCTACATATTGACTTAGTTTTAAAATGTAATAATATTTAGGGTTTGTTGTATTTTTATTTATTTTGGTAAATATTTCCCAATTACATTTTAATCTGATTTAGGCCATATTTATGAGTGGGCTGTGTGTTTGACACCTGGTCTGGGCACATGATAATGAGTCCTGTGCTAGCAGGAGGGGATGGGGAGGGGACAAGTGAGAGAACAGAGAAAGTCAAGAGGAATTGGTAACTGATGGAATGTGAGAGATGAAAAGTGATGTCAAGGGGCAGCTAGGTGGTGCAGTGGATAGAGCACTGGTCCTGGAGTCAGGAGGACCTGAGTTCAAATCCGGCCACAGACCCATAATACTTCCTAGCTGTGTGCCTCTGGGCAAGTCACTTAATCCCAATTGCCTCACTAAGAAAAAAATGTCAGAAGAGAAGCTGGTTTAGGGAGAAAGATAATGAACTACACTTTAGAACAGACTTTTATACTGGCATCCGGCTCCCTCTGAGAACTGAGAGGTCTAGGTCTCCCATCCTCCAGTCCCCAGAATTCCTACTACTCAAACCTCCTATGCATAACTTCTTCCCTTCTTCTCTGTGTATATCCAGATAAAATCCCGGGATGCCAGTACCTCTGAGTGGAGCATCTTGCTTCGAATCTCCCCAGAGACTATGGGCTGCATGATCTCATTGGGATGGGTAGGGCTTGGCAGGGGATGCTAATTTTTCCCACAGCCTTTCCTAGTTCATTTTTGACAGATTAAGACATATAGTATACAGTTTGGATGAGGGTTCACAAGGTTCTCTTCTGAGGAGTCAGACCTGAATTCTGGTCTCCTGAATCACTGGGTGATCTTGGACAAGTCACTAATGATTCTCCCGTTCCTTCCTTTATACTTCCACCAATTGAGGAGGCATTTCATCTTCTGTCAAGCTGCACTCCAATATGCTTGGGTTCATTCATTCATTTGTTCATTCATTCATTCATACATTCACTCATTCATTAATTTAACATAGATAACCCTGGACACCCCACACAGCTAGGTATTTATTTGCCTGGCTTGATTGGCTTCATAGCTCCCTCTTTTCCCCAATCTACCAATCCACCCCTGACTGCTACCTGTGGAAGAGGAGGGGCATGAAAAAAATC